AATGCAGTGCAGTGCAGTTCTGAGCGGTACAGCACGGTGGAGAGGGCCATTTTAGCGAGCGGGGACCGGGAAACACGGCGGAGTGGGAGGGGGGAAAGGGGGGGGGGGGGGGGAAGGGGGGGGGGGGGGTGCGCTGAGCAACTGGGAGACGGGGCCATGGGATGGCTGGGCGACGGGGCCGCAAGGCTGGGCGACGGGGCCGCGAAGCAGTGGGGCGACGAGGCCGCGAAGCGGCTGGATGACGAGGCCGCGAAGCGGCTAAATGACAAGGCCGCGGGGCGGCTGGGCGACGGGACCGCAGGGCAGCTACGCTAGGGACGATGCAGTTGCGGGGCCAGCACAACGGCGAGGCGCAAGGCGACAAGGCGACCGGGTCACAGGGTCGTTATGCGCCAGGTGACGAGACGACGGGGAACAGGGGTCGCTAGGCGCTGGGTAACAGGGAGACGGGGCCAGCGGGGCGGTTAGGCGCTAGGTGGCGGGGCAACGGGGCCACGAGCGGTTAGGCGCTAGGAAACGGGGTTGCGGGGTCAGCAGGGCGGCTAGGCGTTCGCCCATGGGGCCGGCTAAGACCTAAGGCGGAAGCGCGGGTGGGTGGGGGGGAACCTAACCTGCTCATGATACCATCTTAGCGTTAGAATTGTTGAGTAGAATGGGAGTATACAATGGTATATAATGAAATAAAACGTATGGTGTTGTAGTAGACGAAGTATAAAACTATAAACACGAACACTTGGCAAATCCTCAAGTGTTGGTCCAGGATCTTTGCTGGAATGGTAGACTAGTAAGACAGCGGAAGTCTTGTAAAATGTAAAGGTCAAGGTTGAATAACCTGAGTATGTGAACTTGTGAGTAATCAAAGTTAATAATAAAAAGACCTAACAAGTATTCATAGTTCTAGGAAAAGTACCTATTCGCTAATGTACCTGTTCGTCATTATCGCGATATGCGCTCTAAACGATATTGGAGAGGTGCGACTGTTCGCGTGACTGAAACGACTGTCCTATGACGAGCGCTATTTGCTGACGTCACCCTATTATATCACAACACTCCCCTTCATTTCTGGAACGTCGATAGTGTCACTTCTTGAAGATTCCGCAGAGCTTGTTACAGTACTGAAATTTCTGTCGTGTGAGCTTCTTCGTGAGAAAATCGGCAGCCATTTCGTTGGTCGATTAGTAGACCAATCGCATCCTCCCCTTCTCGACTTCATCTTTGACGAAAAAATAACGAAGCGAAAAATGCTTCGTCTTGTTGACGAAACCAGGTTGATGTGCGATGCGAATTGCACTTTGATTGTCGCACTGTAGGGTAAACTGGGTAGTTGTCGTCAACTTCGCTTCTTCCAACAGTTCCTGTAAGTAAAGTCCTCCGCGTGTTGCTGTGCAGACAGCAATAAACTCAGCTTCAGCAGAGGAGAGTGCAATCAGCTCCTGTTTTGTAGAATTCCAAGAGATAGGTCCGATAGGTTCCAGTCGATAGATGAACCCGGTGCGCGACCGTCGATTAGTAGAATCAGCAGCGTGATCGGCGTCGACAAAACCATGTAGGTAGAGTGTTTTACAACCGATGACGTTGTAGACTAAACCGACGTCAGGTGTCGAGATAAAATATTGAAGTGCGCGGAGAAGATCAAGCTGATGCTCTTCCTCAGGACGGCGTAGGAACTGTGCGAGCTGACTGGTCGCGTAGGCTAGATCAGGACGACAAGTGACAGCGGCGAAGAGTAGACAGCCTAGCTGTTGTTGATAGATCTGTAAACCGGTTGAAGTTAACAGTGCGGTGTTCGGTTTGTGGTCAGTCGGTAGTGAGCGGTACGGTGTAGAGACTGCAGTAGGTGTGAGGTTGAAGCGGGCAGCGAGTGTTGCTGCATACTTAGAAGCGGTGAGATGAATAGTTGTCGGTGAACAGGTCATGTTCAGACCGAGAAACTGTGAGACTGTTTCGGAGACGGTAAGCTGTAGATTTTTCTGTAATTTCAGTATGAAGGTCTCGGCAAGAGAATCGGTAGTACTGACGTATAGGATGTCATCGACATAGGCGACGAGTAAAATATAGTTGTTGCCGTCTGTCAGTAGATACATTCCTTGGTCATGAGGTAGTTGACGAAAATCGGCAGCGATCAGATGTGAGTGGAGATACTGCTGCCAGAGCCGTGGTGCCTGTTTAATGACGTATAGGGATTTTTGGAGACGGCAAATGCTCGGTGTGTTAGTAGTATAGGAATGCGGGTACTCTACCAGGATAAGCGCGTCGACAGGCGTGTAGAGAAACGCATTCGAGACGTCGATTTGTCGAAGTCGGAGATTACGGCAGGTGGCGACACAAAGTAGAATCCGAACGCTTGTATGTCGGCCGACAGGAGCAAAAGTTTATTCGTAGTCGATGCCGCAAGTCTGTTCGAACCCGCGGACGACCCATCGCGCCTTGAATTTCTCAAATGAACCGTCTGCATTAGTCTTGACGCGGAAGACCCATTTACCGGTAAGTACCTTCTTCCCTTTTACTTCTGAAGTTGGTATTAAATCCCATGTGCCACGATTCTTGAGTGCTGCTAGCTCCTTGTCCATGGCTTCGCGCCATTTTTCTCGGTTCAGGTATTTTACTGTCGTTGTTCTGTACTGCTACTGCGAACCCCAGTATCTGTAATCTTGTTTCTGTAAAGCGCGGACGTTCTTCGTTTGCACCTGCGAAATTTTCTTCTGGTCCTTCTTCCCCCCCAATTTCTTCAGGTGTAACACGGACTGCTTCGTCGGAGACGACGGGCATCGGCTGCTGTTGGCGATCGCGTTCGTAACTGAGATGAACTTTGCGAACATCATCTTGGTCAGCATCTGCAAGAGGAATGAATTCAGGTATGCTGGTCGAGGTGACAGGTTGGGGAATGTCTGTTGCGGCAGCTTTGGAAGCTTCAGAAACATCCTCGTCCTGTACATCAGCTTCGGCTTCGTCAGTTGCAAATGCACGCGAGCCTTCGAACAGCCGGGCAGGAAAGGCAGCTGCTGCCTGGTGGGCACGAAAAACGGGCAAGGTGAGTCATTCATAGAAAAGACAATCACGTGATGGAACGATTTGGTGTGACCGGAGATCCAAAATCTTCCACGCGTGATATTGTTTTTCGATGCCGAGATGTACCCCCCATTTTGCTCGTTCGGAAAATTTTCCGAGTGCGGCGGTTGGAGGACGAATATGTACAACACACCCGAAAACTCGTAAAAGTTTTGTGCTCCCCACTGTACGTGTCCACTGCAGGTGTGGAGAGGAGAACTCGGTCAGGGACGTTGAAGAAAGAAGATTGTGTAACAGCACAGCGTGGTCCATCGCATATGGCCAAAAATGCGGTGGAAGAGCTGCCTGCGTCAGCAGAGAACGCATCTTCTCCTGCAGAGTCCTGTTCATCCGTTCTGCGACTCGAAACGGGTATTATAAAACGTTCGCCACGCGATGGCGCTTTCATCAGCGGTATTGAACTCCCAGGTATCCAACGCGGTAAGGACGGCGGCTGCAGTTCGAGAAGTCGTTGTTACAGTACTTGCTCGAAAATCAATATCCACATTTTGATAATCTGTTTCTTCTGGGTGATCCCAGGGACCAAGTGCAAGGACTCGTTCAGAATCGCCAGAAGTTCCTTGTGCTGCGAACTGAAGAACGGATACGCCATGTTGAGTGGCAGCACGACCAAGATAAGTATTCGTCGAACTGTGCCAGAGCTCCTGATCCATCATGTCACAATTGCCGTGTACGAATTTTGTGTGCCAGGAGTTGAGCCGTGGAAAGAAGATTGAAGCCAAGACCGGCGACGATAAGAACATTAGTAACATGAAGTGAGTATCCCGTGTCGATAGATTTGAGCATGACACTGCCAACTGCTCGTGCCATGATGGTTTGTCTGTTTGCGACTGTTACAGGTATCGGACGACGAAGTGAACGCTGATTGGTAATGAAGCTTGTTTCTGCTGAGCACATGTGCCATCCGCAGCAACTGTCAAGATACCAGGTATTCGGACCTGAAATTATTCGAGCGAGGTTAGCGTAAACTTGAGGTAAAGGAATGCCTTCAGCACTTGTGGTTTCTTCAAGTCGGGTCTCGAAATCTGTTTCTGAAACATCAACTGTTGTAACACATCCGAAAACTCTTTTTCCTGATGTGGCAGATGCGAAGACCGGCGGATGATGCTGCGACACTGATGAATTCTGCGACGGTTTTGGCATCTGCTGCTGCTGAGTAGTTAACTGCTGCTGTGGTTGTGTCTTCGGTAACTGTTGCGATCGTTGATACGGCTGCGAAGTGTGGCGACGAGTTTGATGACGGCTGCGACAGTTTTGGTAAGTATGTCCTGGCTTCTTACAGAAGTGGCAGAATGGATACTTTGGTGGATGTCGATGCTGTTGTTCTGGATTGGAGTAAAAACTTAAATGAAGCCCCTTTTTCTGATTTCGTTGTGATTGCAGGTCAAGATCTTGCTGCTCTGCTTGAAGATAAGAAGAAATTTCTGCTTCGGAGAGGTTGGGGTTCATGCGCAGAAAGGCGCGCGTCTGTCGCCATTCGGGTCCAAGACCAGCCAGAAGTACCGTGAGATACATTTCACGAGGGAAGTATCCCCCACTTTTCTCCAGTTGATCTCGTAGTGTACGGACGCGGTTGACGTAATCCATGACGTTCTCATTTGTCATCATCTGCACACTTGTCAACTGCGAAAGTATTTTACTCACTGTTATCGTATCCTTTGCCATGTATACCCCTTTCAGATGGTTCCATGCAGTTTCGGCTGGTGTGAAACTTGAGTGAAATGATCGAACGCCGAGCTGCTCCTTCGGCGACAAGTTCCGTACAAGAACTGTATACGCCCCGAGAGAGGCGTGCAAAAAACTTTGCTGCTCCAGTTGTGTTCCCACGATAGGGTACGTAAATTCGCCAGTGAAGAACGGCCATAGCCCAGCGGATTGCGCCAGAAGCTCAAACTCAAAGCTCCAGGAGTAGAAGTCAACACCATTAAAAGGTACGGTTGTCTTGATCTGAGTATTGTTAAGTAAATTTGGAGGCTGAAAAACAATGCCTGGCTGTTGCTGTTGTTGCTGTTGCTATTGCTGCTGTTGTTGTTGTTGTTGTTGCTGTTGCTGTTGCTGTTGTTGTTGTTGCTGCTGTTGCTGATATTGCTGTTGCTGTTGCTGTTGTTGTTGTTGAGCAGGGGAACGACCGAAGATGTAAAAAGGATGCTGAAACTGCTGCGACTGCGGCTGCTGCACGAAAGGTGAGAAAGCGAATGAACCAGTACTTGGAGCTATAGCTCCACGCATGTAACTTGAGCCGTGAAGGCTCATTCCACTGAACGCAGATGAAATCGATTGCGTTGAAACTGGTGGCTGAACTGACGCTTGTTGATGTGCTGATGTCTGTGATTGTTGCTGTTGCGTTGCAGGTGCAGTCGATGGAGCACCTGGAGTATTTACAGAAGGCAGATTCTGCTGTTGCATAATGTATTTTTTTGAAAGCGTGTAACGCTTTATAAAAATGTGTATTGGGAAAGTGCAGCAACGGCCAACGCAGCAAGGACATCGTCGAAGCGCTACTCACCAGGCCCCACGATATCAGGATTTTTACGCTTTTTACGCTTTTTTTCAGGGTGTTTGCTTGTACCGACCCTGATGAAAAAGTTTTTTGTTTTTGTTCAACCCTGATGAAAAAAAAAATTTAAAAAAATTAAGTACAACCCTGTTGAAAAGGCGTTTTTTTCCCTAGAGTTACTGAGCAATCAGCGCAGAAACGCGTAACGATACCGAAACAAAGAACTACAGTACGTGATTTAGGGAAGTTCATCTTGGTTGGCGGCTGTTTACCTCCCCCCTTGTCTATCACGCAACTGATTTAACAACAGCATCTGGTCGGGGCGCGCACACTTACCAAATTCAGTCGCGCTGTAAACATCGTGCAGCCGCTGTGCAGCCCCATTGGCAGTTACCAAAATGTTGCCTTGGCAACCAATGGGAGCTGTAGTTAGGAATCAGGAAGCAGCAGCACTGAACCTATCCACCCTGCCCACCAGCGGCCCGACCTGCCTCACCTTTCGTCGTGCGACACGATGCTCTCCCCTCACTACCGAGGAACCCCCTGGTATCTTCTTTGGGGCTCTCTCGATTTTGACGGGAGCCAAAATAGCCCCGGGGAAAACGTGTCTCGCTCACTCACGATTGCCCCACCCTAGCGTGCAGCCTGTCAGGCTGCTCAACCGCGCCCTCACCTTACCCAGCAGCACCATTTCCACCCAGCCAGCTCTCGCCATGGCTGTTGCTGGGGGAAGCTGTATCGACGGCGACGCGGCAGCTCCTGACGAGCCTCCGCAATCTTCGACTGCCTCTCCAGCTCCGTGTAGCGTGCTAGAGTTTTTACAAATCTCACTGCCGCCTTTGCGAAACAAAATAGGCTTGCCAACGAGTTTTCAAATGTCTCAGCACCCCACCAGAAGTCTACCTCACCCACGCCAGCAGCGGCTGTCTCCATAATATCAGCCACGCCAGGTGATCGACCCTCTTGCGCCTGCTTTACCCGTGCTTCCACTGACATTCACGCTACCTGCGCCCGTTTGGGTGTGTGCGAATGACATCCCAGATTCTCCGCCAGAGGACCCTGCTATGAACACGGGTGTTGCCCCATGGCTAACAAATCGGGGCGCATCAGTGGACTCTGCCGCCACTGCCATGCCCTAAACCAGCGCCACCCTTGGCCGTGCAGGAAGTGTTTGAATATTTCTTTTTAGCAGCGCCATCCTTCGTGCGATTTACACATGCCGTTTACCGAACCCTTTTCTTGACCGTATTGGCCCTTGGCAGGGATCCCCATCCCTGCCACCGTCGGACCTGAGACTCGCGCGGCTGGTACTCGCCGTGCAGGACACGAGACTAACGCGGCTGGTGCTCGCTGTGCAGTACCCGAGACTAGCGCGGCTGGTGCTCGCCGTGTAGGACCCGAGACTAGCGCGGCTGGTGCGTCAGGTAAGTGGAGTTTGTTGGGCTGTTGTCTTCGTTTTTCCCATTCGTGCTCTATTAATAACCTTCAGCGCATCTTGCAGGAACTCCTACCTCTGTGAGAGGCATGCTAGTAAGCGGTATCCTAGTGGGCATGGCCCTTATAGTAGCTTGTTGTGTTTAATTCATAGATGTTGTAGTTAGATTGGACGCGATAGTCTAAAGATGCGATAGGATCTTATTGTAGTTAGGAGGATAGCATGTCCAATCTCGAAATGCTTACTGTTTGTGCTAAATCAGCGTAATTTTTTCAGTTAACCCTGATAGAAAAGCCAACTTTCGCAATCCAACACTGATGAAACATCTTTTTTTTTTTGGGTCAAGACTGATGAAAAGTTTTTTTTTTTAGTACGACACTGAGCAATCAGGGTACCTTAAAACCAATCGTGGGTCCTGCTACTCACCCTCTTTTGCCTACAAAAGAGGGACGTGAGGCCATTCGACCTCACCCACGTTCTTCATTTCTAGTTCCAGTTTCGTTTTCCCCACCTACCCACCCTATTTGTAGGTGTAGTCTATTGGACGAGAACCATGTATGCAATCCCATATGAAATGAAGCACACTGCCTTTGCCAAGATGACCCAAGCAAGCTTTCACAATCCGATATTAGCGTAGGCTGGTGGAAAGTGCCCAGAGGCTGAGAGACCAGCGACGGTAGTGGAGACATGTGCTCCAGTAGTCCCAATAACTGATCCAGCACATGGTGCTGGTGATGAACCAGTCATAGTTGACGGTAGTCTTCATTCCAGATAGCTCTCATACCATGAAATAAAACGTATGGTGTTGTAGTAGACTAAGTATAAAACTAAAAACACGAACACTTGGCAAATCCTCAAGTGTTGGTCCAGGATCTTTGCTGGAATGGTAGACTAGTAAGACAGCGGAAGTCTTGTAAAATGTAAAGGTGAAGGTTGAAAAACCTGAGTATGTGAACTTGTGAGTAACCAAAGTTAATAATAAAAAGACCTAACGAGCATTCATAGTTCTAGGAAAAGTACCTATTCGCTAATGTACCTGTTCGTCATTATCGCGCTATGCGCTCTAAACGATATTGAAGAGGTGCGACTGTTCGCGTGACGAGCGCTATTTGCTGACGTCACCCTACGGACTTATCTTCTACAGTACGATTCGATACTAACTACACTTAATCGACTTACAGAAATGCTAAGTATCAATTATATCACAACATATAATACTCTATGGCATGATCCTATGCAGTCTACTAAACATACACACATATGTTGACAACAGCATGGGATGATACACATACACCATGAGATGATGCACCATGGGAACATACACCATGGGAAGATACACCATACAGCACCAACTGTCAAAGTGAGAACGAATGATTACTAGAAGTGGAAACCTAGAACAAATACTAGTTGGTTGTACTCACTTGAAGCATACCTCAGTCTAGCCTATAACTTCTACATAGATAATATGTATAAGTTGACACACCCCCTAGGCTAGACAAGGGGTGAAACTAAACAAGAAGCAAACAGCTCAGGGCGGCACTACTAGTCCAACCACTGAGGCAGGGGTCTGGAGACCAGTCAGCAAGAATACAACCAAAACTGAAGCAAGCCAGGGTGGCACTATTAGTCCAGCCACCGGAGGTAAGGCCACAAGGCCAGTCTGACAAGCATATATAATAGAGAGTACACAATCAGGATCCTAACAGGGGAGCAGCTACAGGAACAAGACCAAGCTGTACACAGTGCCGCTGATGATCTTTAGGCGCAAGCGCCTTAGTAAAGATATCAGCTGTGTTGGCACCTGAGGCCAAGTGAACTACGCGGGCCTGGCGGCGCTGCTGTAGCTCGCGCAGGAGGAAGTACCGCAGCTGGATATGCTTCGCTCTGCCCTTAAGCCGAGGCTCCTGATACAGGAGTATCATGGCCCTGTTGTTAGCGTACAGGACCGGGGCAGAGCTAGGCCGCTCACCTAAGTCTGTGAGCAAGAAGGTCAGCCAGCGGAGCTCCTGTGCCGCCATGGCACCAGCGTAGATCTCAGCCTCACAGCTAGACTGAGCCACAGACGACGAGCGAGTGGATCTCCAAGAGATAGCACCCGAACCAAGGCTGAAACAGTAGCCCTGCGACGACCTGAGCGTCTCAGAGTCGTCTGCCCAAGAAGCGTCTGTGTGCCCAGTAAGGACCACTGGCCTGCGTCCTCCTAGCACTAACCCCATGCCTGATGTACTAGCAAGATAACGCAAAACCCTCTTAGCGCCAGACCAGTGCTGAGGTCGGTGTCTGCCTGTAGCTACAAAGCGAGCCAGGATGCTGAGAGGGTATGCGAGATCTGGGCGAGTGCAAGTCATCAGGTACATGAGGCAACCCACCAGCTCTGCGTAGGGGCCACTGGGCTCTACTGGCTCCTCAGGAACGGGAGCAGAGAGCCCATGGTCTACGGGTAGAGGTGTGGGCTGTGCGGAGGAGAACTGAAGACCGAACCTCTGAAGGACCTGGCGCACCAAGTGTGACTGGGTCAGAGTGATGGTGCGTGCTGCTCTGTCCCTAGAGATCTGCAGGCCAAGATAGCGACGCAGTTCTCCAAGGTCAGTGCAGGTGTGTCTCTTCAGCAGCTCAGCCTTCACAGAGGCCAGTGCGTCCCTGTCAGGAGTAGCGAAGACCAGGTCGTCTACGTAGACAAGGATGTAGAACGGAATCTGGCCGGAACGCACAAACAGTGAAGGGTCAGCAGAGGACGGAAAGAACTGCAGGTCTGCTAACGTGGCACGTAGCGTGTCGTGCCACTCGCGGGGAGCCTGACGCAGGCCGTAGACCGGGCGCTTGAGAAGCCACTGGGTCCCAGGAGGGAAGGTACCAGTGAAGCCCTGTGGTCGGCGCAGGTAGACCTGCTCGTGTAGGCTGCCCTGAAGAAAGGCAGTAGAGAATTCGAGGGAGTGAAGCTCGTAGTCACGCTGTGCTGCTACGTGTAGCAGCGCCCGAAGAGTGGTCATCTTCGGGTTCGGGGCGAAGGTCTGGAAGAAGTCAACCCCCTTGCGCTGACTGAAACCTCTGGCCACGTAGCGCGCCTTGAAGACAGGCGGCTCTCCAGGGGGGCGCTTCACCTTGAAGAGCCACCGACCATCGACTACGTTCACCCCAGGCGAGGGAACTGCGTCGACGTAAGTGCCGGTGGACCTCCAAGATGCCATCTCCTGCTCCATGGCAGCTATCCACTGAGAGGCCCAAGGTCCCGAGGTGGCC